GGCTTAAGTGATTCTCTTGCCTCAGCCTCCCAAGTAGCTGGGACTACAGGTGCCTGCCACAACACCTGGCTACTTTTTTTGCTGCAGTTGTCATTGTTGTTTAGCAGGTCCTGACCAGGTTCAAACCCACCAATGTTGGTGTATGTGGCTGGCACCCTAACCACTGAGCTATGGGCACTGAGCCCCAAATCTGTTTTTTTTAGTAATGAAATAGGAGCAGGGGGTTAAATGATACTCAAATTATTGCTAAGCTGCACCAGAATCTTTTTTTTTTTTAAACAGAATCTCACTGTCGTCCTCTGTAGAGTGCTATGGTGTCATAGCTCACAGCAACCTCAAACCCTTGGGCTTAAGTGATTCTCTTGCCTCAGCCTCTCAAGTAGCTGGGACTACAGGTGCCTGCCACAATGCCCAGCTATTTTCTTGTTGCAGTTGTTTAGCTGACCTGGGCTGGGTTCGAACATTCCACCCTCCGTGTATGTGACTGGTGCCCTACTCACTGAGCTACGGGTGCCCCAATTGTTTTTGTTGTTGTTGTTGTTGTTGTTTGTTTAGCAGGCCTGGGCCAGGTTCAAGCCCACTAGCCTTTAAAAAATAAAAATAGCCCTGGTGTTCGTGGTTAGCGCCCTAACCACTAAGCTATGGATGCTGAGCTTTTGGAAGGGAATTAAGGGCTGCTTCTGGTTCCTACCAGCATACTTTCCTCTTCTTTAACTGCCTCTTGGAGAGTTTGCAGGTTCTAGACCATCATTTTCTTTCTTTTTTTTTTTTTTTGAGACGGAGCCTCAAGCTATCCCCCTGGGTAGAGTGCCATGGCATCACGCTCACAGCAACCTCCAATTCCTGGGCCCAAGCGAGTCTCCTGCCTCAGCCTCCCAAGTAGCTGGGACTACAGGTGCCCGCCACAACGCCTGGCCATTTTTTGGTTGCAGCCATCATTGTTGTCTGGCGGGCCTGGGCTGGGGATTCGAACCCGCCACCCTAGGTGTATGTGGCTGGCGCCTTAGCCGCTTGAGCCACAGGCGCCGAGCCAGGCCATTCAGTTCTGAGGTTGATTCCCACCACCACATGCCTTGTTACCAAAGAAAACTCAGGCAGGTGGAGAGAAGCTCTGAGGAAGTGGGGGCAAGTGTGAAGATGGTGGGACCAAGCTGGGGGGGGGTGGATGGAGCATCACAGTTGGGGATAGTTGGGTTGGACCTCCAGGCCCCCTGTGTTAATATTCCATTCTAAGCCAACTGGATAAGAAGTTGGGTAAGCTGTCCTTAGGTCACAGAATGTTGAAGTTATGGCTTGTACCTTTCAGGCAGAGAAATACATATCAGAAAATACTTTTCTCTGATATGTGGCAAAATATATGTAACATATAATTCACCCTTTTACCCAATTTTTTTTTTTTTTTTTTTGAGACAGAGCCTCCAGCTGTCCCCCTGGGTAGAGTGCCGTGGCCTCACAGCTCACAGCAACCTCCAACTCCTGGGCTCAAGCGAGTCTCCTGCCTCCGCCTCCCAAGTAGCTGGGACCACAGGCGCCCGCCACAACGCCTGGCCATTTTTTGGTTGCAGCCATCATTGTTGTTTGGCGGGTCTGGGCTGGGGATTCGAACCCACCACCTTAGGTGTACGTGGCTGGCGCCTTAGCCGGTTGAGCTATAGGCGCCGAGCCCTTTTACCCAATTTTAAGTGTATAATTCAGTGGCATTAAGTACATTCACAATATTGTGCCATAGCAATACATTTTTAACAGGGTTGACTATGAGGCAAATACTTTGTCAGGGACTTCTACATAGGCTGACTTAATTCTCACCAAAGCTAGAAAAAATCCTATACTGAAACTGTCTTCATCCTCTTTTTACAGTGAGCAAACTCAGCCTCAGGGAGGTGGAATATTGGGCCCCATGTGAAGAATCCAAAGCAGAAATTAAACATAAATCCTTTCCACTCCGGAATGATGTACCTTTACTAGCCTAGGCTGCCCCTTAAGGCATCAATAAGAAATGACTTTGTGCCAGAGGTTCAAAGCCAGCTTGCAAAAGGTCTTGTATGAAATATGGATAGATACAGAGAGGATGACACAATTCTCCCGGCCCTATTTCTAATGGCCACATCTTGAACCATGAAGAGATGCCAATACGATTTTTTAATAATACGGTTACATTATCAAAATGAAATTTTGAATCCTAGCACTCTGAGAGGCCGAGGCCAGTGGATTGCTTGAGCTCAGGAGTTTGAGACTGGCCTGAGCAAGAGTGAGACCCCAACTCTACTAAAAATAGAAAAACCAGCCAGCGTGCTGGCTTTGGCCGCACATATACTAAAATTGGAACAATACAGAGAAGATTAGCATGGCCCCTGCGTAAGGATGACATTCAAATTTGTGAAACGATCTGTATTCTTTTTCAATAAAACATTAATATGAAAAAAAAAAAAGAGAGAAAGAAAAACTAGCCAGGCATGGTGGCTAGAGTCAACATAGTCCCAGCTACTTGGGAGGCTGAGGAAAGAAGATTGCTGAAGCCTGAGAGTTTGAGGTTGCTGTGAGTAAGACTCTGTCTCAGAAAAGGAAAAAGAAAATAAAAAAGGAATTTTGATGCATATCTAGTGGGTAGGAAGAACAATGGCGGCATTTCAGAAGTTCTGAGGCAGAACTGGCGTGTTTTTTTCCTATTTCTGACCATCTTTTGCTCTAGGAATATTCAGGACAGAAATGGATTCGATTTGGTGGATTCCTTTTGGATTGGTGGAGTACAGAATTTGGTTTGTGAAGTACAGAAGCAACTCATTCTAAGATGCTCTGCCATAAAAGGTACTCTCATACACAGGCCAAAATAAATTACGGTAGGCCCCGAGAGATACATATGTATATATATTTTAATGACTTTGAGATTAAGAGCTTTTCTGGAAATTCATTCTGTAAAGAAAGTAAAGTACATAACAGAAAAAGGCACTAGGCAAATCACAGATTTTTTGACCCTGAAGGGAGACCGTGTCATTTGACTCTTGTCCCAGCTGGCTTCCGTTAACACTACAGGTTCCAAGCCTGAGCCCACTTTACAGTGTGGAATACTCCATCAGATCTCTGATTTCCCAAATTTTTAAGACTTGCAACAATAGAATTTCTTTAAAATTAAGCACTAAGCCTTGGGATAGATCTGATAGAATCATCTCATTACAACTAATTTGAAGGGCCGCTTGCATATCATTTGCTACCTGGGAGTATTTATTTATTTAATTTATAAGACACATATTTGATAGTATAGATATTCAATTTGGAAATGCTTTTGATACCCACAGGTCTTTCTGGTAATGGCAACTGTTGGAATGCTCCTTGAAGATTTTTGATTTTTTTTTCCATAACATCTCCGTGCTTTACAAAAACATAGCAGAAAGCCTAATGTCTGGGACACATTTGTGCTGATGAGAAAATACTCGTGATGAGAGTTTCCTGAGAAAGCCTTATAAAGCTGACTGGGACGGGAGCAGAGATGGAGGGTGGATTTTCAGCTGCTGCAGTTGCGCTGAGTCCCATGATGAGACCCGCCTTCTGTCTGCTCAGCCCCTTCCTCCTCCCCTGCTGAAAGCACGTGTTGATACTTCACGTTTCTTTCCTCACATCAGACAACTTCTAAGAGAAACCAGGACCTCTCCAAGCCCAAGTGTCCCACCCAGCATGCAGAATCAGATTTGGGGGTGTGGGGGTGCGGGCAGGGGGAGAAGGAAAACACATACTGCAAAAAGAGGGTGGGCTCAGTCTTCCAAGGACTCTCCTAAAAATAGGTCACAACTGAAACGCTCTGTTTGTTGACAGAACAATCTCCCGGGGCTTTGGGGAGACTAAGAGGACCATGGGTGGGGCTGGACTTGTGGCAGCCAGGCCCCTCTCACAGATGTCAGCCTCCTGTCCTCATCACAGATGCTGGGTGGCTCAGTGCTGTAAGACCTTGAGCTGAGCAATTTTCCCCACCTAAGGTCAGTCAGATCTGTCCCTGAGGTTTATGGAAGGCTGAGGACCATGAAATCCTCACTCCGTAAGTTTTTTTCTTTTTAACAATTAGATTACATAAAGAGCTGTTAAGATTGTCAAAATGATCTTTTAAAGATTATGATGAATCCTATGCATGTGGCTATTTATATCTCTTTTTTTCTTCTATTTTTTTTTTTTTTTAAGGGACAAGGTCTCACTCTGTTGCCCAGGCTAGAGTATAGTGGTGTCAACCTAGCTCACAGCAACCTCAAACTCCTGGGCTCAACTGATCCTCCTGCCTCAGCCTCCCAAAATGCTGGGGCTACAGGTGTGAGCCATCATGC